CGAAGATACCAAGGATGATGAAGAACATGATTTCGAAAAAATGCCAATCTCGATCATACGTGACTTGGAACAACACTAGCTTTCCACTGCGGTATGGGTTCATGGCCTGGTGAAGGGAATGAGGTTCAGACATGTTCACGCCAAGCGAAGAAGCTTACCGAGAGGGTGACTGTGGCCACCAATGCGCAGAAGAAACTTCTCCACATAGTTTTGATGCTGAAAACACTGCTCATTTCCTGCGAGCTCGTTAGATGACAGATTTCCCAAAAGTTATGATACTCGCCTCAATGGAAAACATCACACCTCCGATGGGGGAACCGAAAGCAACGGCAACTCCAGCCGCGCTGGATGCGGTCAAAATCTCCCGCATCTTCGCTGCATAATCGTCAGTGAATGACTAGCATGCATTGACAGATACATACATTGACTCCCAGAGAAACCTTTGAACAGCCCTGCAATCACATTGCCGATACAGCATGCGAAATGGACTGACGGTCCTTCCTTTCCGACTGAAAGGCCCGAGGCAATGACGAGAGGCTGCGCATTATTAGCGTGAGTTATGAGATGCACTAACGGAGTACGTACCAAAGTGACGCTCTTGATAAAGAACGTCGAAAATCCAAGGAATCCCTTCATGACGAAACCTCCAATGATGCATTTAATTTCTGAGATCCCCGACCCAGCCGCATACTTGGCCAGTGACTTGACTAGATGCGCTGCAATGAACGAGAACGCGGCCTGACAGCCGTAATGTCTCAGAATACAGGACGAAGCATACGAGTGGATAGGTAAAGACGTACCGCGAATAGGACATAGATGGCCCATCGGGCGGGCATAACGTCGCTCCACGAATGCCATGCCTTGCAAGCCTCGTCGTCGTCGCCCTCAATTTCCCAGCAACAAAACTGCTGGTTGAGCCACCAGCCGTCAGAGCAATAGCCCATCTTAATGTCCGACAGCCATTCGGTCACGATGGAGATAACTGCCGCGTTAACACCGATGGCTATGCCTGAGGTGAAAAGATACACGACGTCCTTTCAGCATATCGCACATTGTGACGGGGAGGAGGAGGTCTGGGACAGACTAGAGGGGGACTCGAAGTGACGGGGAGTGGACTCACCGACCAGGCTGACGACAAACCAACTCTGTCCGGCGTGTGCAAACTGGCGTACTAACGACCACAGCCACGACAATGTGATCTCCCCTCGCGGTCCGCGATACGTAGTGTGCTGATTCCGGGCTGCTCGCAGTCGCCTATTGCGTTCAATAATGGAGTCCTGGATCCAGTCTGAACGGTAGACGGTGAGCATGCACGCATACGCAGCGCCGAGAATATTTACCTATAGTCGTAAAGTCTTCATATCTCCTGTATAATGACACTTGTGAAGCCGTTTCTTATTTCCGGATGGTGAACATACTCGACATGCTCGAAATCCTCGTCGGAGCCATTCCGGTCAAGAGCGTGGAGTGACGGGCGACGTTCGCGAGACATGAGAACGTAACCGAAGCATATATCTCGCCCACGTCCACAGGGCAGGAAGCGGTTCCGCGAAAGAATGGGGATGGGGGAGAAGCACGCGGAACAGCAGGAACGCGTTGAAGCCCTGTCCTGAGTCGGCGGAGTTGCTGCGCGACTGGCGCCAAGTACCCCGAGTTATTCGGACTCCCGATCCTCTGCCACGCTTCCGGCCCGAATATACAAAAGTCAGTGGCTCTCACAGAACATCTTCTAAATCGAACAAGACGTTGGAAAATTATACACATCATAACAAGTAAACCATAGGTAGAAATCATATCGCTCATATCCTCCGACCCCACAGTCCGAGTCCAGCTATGTCGGCTCGTCTCTGCAAACGGGGTTTCAGACACGGTATGCCTCAAGACCGATGCTGAACACACCTTCTGCGACTGTTTTGGACGCGAATAAACAGCCAGTCCACAGCAGCACGCACTCCCGTACTGAGGTCCGGTGTCAGTGTCGGAGATTCTGGTAGAAATCATGAAGGATGCTCACCCTTCAATAGCAGACGCCCCCATGACATCTAAGCTGGCCATCCGCTCTGCCCGTTGCTGTGAATCAACGTCCTCCCCATAGCCTCTCCTTGCACTGTCAAGCTTCCTTCGGTGCCATTCCTCGTAGTCGTTCCGAATCTCCTCCACCGAGAGGCTTTGGGGACTATCTTGCTTGTTGGCAACCAGGAGTAATGGGACTCCGAGAATTTGAGGTGCAGACAACACTGAGTCTTATGTTCCTTCGTTGATATCAGTAGGTCAACAACAGATTTGAAGGCTATAACATACCGAACACCTCCCAGCCTTCGCTCAGTCGTTCTCGGTCTTCAGCATCTATGACAAAGACGACGGCATGACAGTCGTCATAGTACCGATGCCATATGGCCCTTATACCCCGCTGGCCACCAAGATCCCAAAACTTCAAGATGGTGGACGGAAGAGATATCTTGCCCACTGGGTGATGATTGGCGACTACGAGCGAGAGGAAGACGACCTCACGTACTGTTCTGTCCAACTGTAGGGGCAATCTTGTCCGGAGACAGTCCGGGGACATCGTTGTATATCGTCTTGATTTTTTCCAGCAAAGTCTGCACAACGCTCAGTGGTCAAAACGCGTAGCAGCACGGAGTGTGACGAACTGTCTTTCCTGCCCCATCTAGCCCGATGATGATAACCGAGAACTCCTCCTTCCTGAGAAATTAGCGCCATTAAAACGAAGGTCTTGGTATTGTGTACCTCGTCATGTATTCGTGAAAGCCTTTGAGGAGGTGGTACATGTTGGGCCGTCCAGCCTGGTCAGAGAAGGTGTTGTGGGGAGAAGGGATGGCGGGCCGGGGGCGCTCGTCCATGACGCGGACTGGCAGAGCAAACAGGGGCACACACGGAAGTGCCTGTGTTGGTCGTCACAGTAGACTGCGAGCATTGCATACCCTCACTTGCCCGCCACCATGGGTTTGTACTCGTCCTACTTCTCATATGGCTTCCCCTCCTTCCTTGTTCTAGTCATCGCCCTCTACTTGCTTTTTACTGGTTCGTCATGCGCAACTTGCAGACTCGCCGAAACCCTGCTAAACTAGTAGCGGTATAGGATCCGGAGAGGCCTTCAATGTTGGTCAGTTCCTCGAAGAGACAAGTCCCTATGCATGGGCATCGACTGGCATTGGGTTGTGCATCGGATTGAGCGTTCTGGGCGCCGGATGGTACGTCGTGATAATATGATCCTGTCTTCGGTATCCAGTGTTCAACCGCCCATTGCAGGGGTATCTTTATCACAGGTGCCTCTATTCTGGGTGGAGGTGTGAGAGCACCTCGCATCAGGACCAAGAACCTCATCAGGTACGTACTGTTTCGTGCGTTTTCTGTGCACCTCCTCACAACACCCAGCATTATCTTTTGCGAGGTCGTTGCCATTTACGGTGTCGTATGTGTCTCTGCCGCATTCGTGCACACTGTACTTACCCCTCTACTACAAGATTATTGGCATTGTTTACTCGGCACGCATCACTCCTGTCGCTGACGCTCTTTTGTACACGCGCGAGAACTACTTCACCGGTATGTGACAGTATTTGCCTTTGGTACGCTCCGCAGTTCACTAAATGTGTTAACCAGGGTATGCGCTTTTCTGGGGAGGGCTTACCGTCGGCGTCTGCAACTTGCTTTGCGGCATTTCTGTCGGCATTGCCGGATCGACTGCCGCTTTGGCGGATGCTGCCGACCCCGACCTGTTCGTCAAGATACTCATTGTAGAAGTCTTCGGAAGTATCATGGGTCTCTTCGGTCTCATTGGTACGTTTCCTTAGCTGTCTTGTGCACCACTGGACTAACTATTCCATAGTTGGTCTTCTAATGATTGGCCAAGCAAATGAGTTCACAGCGGCCGCTGCGGTAGTCTCGCCTTACGTACGCTGAAGTCGGTAATGTTTATCTACGCACTGTCAGTAATACCCTCGCACGCGACGCCTTTGTGCAATTTGGAATGATTATCGCTATATTCGTTGCAGTGCCTGTTGCGATTGTCACGCTGGGGCGACCATTTTCTGGAAGTTCAAATACCAGGTGCAGATTTTCTAGTATGGGTTTCTATGGGCGATAGATCTAGAAAGCCTTACCAGGACTTTTCTCGGCTTCGATGTGCCTCTAGAAAGATGGCCTCCCCTGCGTGTGGGAGCGCTGCAAACGTGGGTGATAGGAATGTCAGTCTCATTTCCGCCAACGAAGGTTCATGCAGCTGCGGTAAGAAGCCACCTAATCCTGAGGTAGTCCTAGGCCACTTACCTTCTCCCCGCTAGACAACCCCCCTCGCTCTCTGTTCGATGCACTGTTCAAAATGTGGAATCAGCAAGTGACCAGATCTCTAACAACCGTGGTCACATTCTAATCTCCTGGTTAGATGGGCATTTCGCCTTCAGCTGCAGTTACCGGTGTAGGGTGTGCTTTCTCTGCCACCGCCCGGGGCATGTGGCAGGAGCTTGCCCACTGCGGAGCCAAGCAGATGATTCATGCGGAGACTGTGGAGAGAAAGGGCATGCACGGTGCAATAAGCCAAAAAATCAGCGCAAGGTGAGTGAGTGTGCCCTAGCAGAATACGCGTATCTTGACAGGTGACTGTTTTACAGGTGGTATTGTGTGCCCGTTGTTGGAATAAGGACCACGGCGTGTGGTCTTGCCCGACCGTGTGCAGTGGCAAGCAGATGAAGACCAAGATTGAATGTTCTATTTGCGAAGGAGAAGGTCATGCGTTTTGGCATTGTCTCCAGATGCCCTGCAAGGTCCGTCCACCGGTCTTCTGTCGCGTCCGAATGATGAACTAGCCTCTAGTCTTGTGGTCTGTTCAATCATGACGCCAGACACTGTGTTCGCGGCGGGAAGAAAGGAGGGTTCAAGAAGAGTCCCAAGCGCGGTGAGTTCGTTCTGAAGTGGAACGTGATTGGAGAGGCTGAGGCCCTTGTCAATTCCGCGATTCAACCCTTTGAACAGCAGCCTTCTCCACCCGCGGTTCTTCAAAAAGGCACGATGAGGCCCACGCACTGTATATTGCCGCCCTGGACGCGCCCGAGGACGCGCCAGATGTCGCGATTTCCCTGCTCAACGACGCCATTGGTTCGTGTTCGCATGCTGTGGGACCAGTTGAATTCTGATTGGGGACGCGCAGGTATTGATCCAACAAAGCCCATTTATTACTTGACGCGGGCGACTGCCCTCATTGAAGATGTTCAATTATTCGCAGCACTTCGAGATTTTGATATTGCTTCGTCCATGAACACTTTCGAGGGCACGGCCACGATATTCCTCCAGATCGCACGATGCCGTTTGGTCCTGGGATTCCCTTCGATAGCGTTGATAGCTGCTCAAAACGCGCGCGCCCTCGACCCCTTCAATCTGCGAGCTACAGAGCTTCTGGGGCGAATACGAACTCTCGAGTCCCAGATGGCCAAGTACGGGCGAGCAACATCTGAGAAACAGTGGCACGTGGCGCGGTCGGCATGCGACGCATGTTTGGAGATATTTGCGAAAGAGGACAGCGACGCACCACCGGAGATCCAGTGCTGGGGCATAGACCTGCTCATCGTTGAGCGCAAGTGGGATGACGCCCTTAAAGTTGCTGAGTGAGTGTGATTGACATTCATTCCGCATGATGCGTCTGACTTCTTTAGAGCCTCCCTGCGGAGCTCGCCGAGCTCTGTCGAAGCAATGGTTCTCCGCGCACTAGCCCTGTTCTTGCAGATGCGCCTCGGCGAGGCGCTTACGCAACTCATCGACGCTTTGAGATTTGATCCAGACAATGGGGCAGCCAAAGCGCTTCGTTTACGCGTGAAGACCACGTCAAGTTTCAACGAAGCGGGTCACGCTGCCTCCCGAAGAGAGTGCTGGTCTGAGGCAATAGAATCGTGGGGCAAGGCTCTGCAGGTGCGTTCCACCTCAGCAATATACCGATCTGTTTGATTCTAGCCGTCATGAAGTTCGTAGGAGATGACACGAGAGAGGGACGTGGAGGTATATTCCGTCCGACTCTCTTACTAGAACGTGCAACTGCCTACCTCAAGGTAATTGTCTGTGGTATCTCTTAGAGAACCCCGTCAACTCACGAAGTTCGTTTAGATGCAACAGTACTCGTTTGGCCTCAAGGACGTTAATCAGTCCCTTGAGCTCCGCCCGTCTCATTATCAGGCGCTGCTGTGTCGTGCCCGCATCCATGTGTGCCTGGAACTCTACAACTCCGCGGTCGAGGACTTCCAATCCGCCCTTGAAGCTGGAAAATCGTCGATGCCACCATACGAGAGGAAGCAAGTGGAAGCCGAGTTGCTCGACGCACGCACGGCGCATCAACGTGAGGCGGACCAAGATCATTACACGGTTTTGGGTACGTACCGTTGCCGAAATATAAATCTATACCTAACCGTCATGTGCCTCCCGCTTAGGATTATCCGAAGACTGTTCGCCCAATGACGTCAAAAAAGCCTTCCGGAAGTTGTCGCTCCTGCATCACCCCGACAAGGTTCGTTGGTTACATCTGTGACGGGAATATTGACTGAGATGACGTCGTAGGGAGGGTCTGAGGATAAGTTCAAGATCATCAACAACGCATATGGGGTTCTTTCGGATATTGACGAGAGAGCGAAATACGACTTAGAGCGCCGGGGTTGTCGATTCCAACCTTCGTTTGGAGGAGGATTCTATGACTATGATGGCTGGTATTAGCTATTAGTCGTACTACCTGTCTCGAGTTCAACAAATCTGACGATCAGCCACGTGTTGTGCCATGATTCGAAATCTCAATGATTCATCTACGCACGGAGGGCAACGCTGCACAGTTACTATGAGGACGCTAAACCTGGCATTACCGTTTGTATTGTAGCACAGGGAATACGTGTGCATGATTTGTATTTTAATTTATATATATAGATGCGGGTAACGCAAACAGCATGCTGCACAAATGACTGATTATCGTAAGACATGCGTATTGTGCCGAGCGTGCATTCAAAGGAGGTCTGGTGCCTTTCCCATAGAATATGCCTTCAGACACTCAACAAGCGGGACATGCACCATCGCCGCCGCACGCAGGTTGCTATCGCACGCCTGCGGAATAGGAGGATACGTCTGCCGCGGCCGAATCAGCCTCGTGTCCCCTCCCATCTCCGACGAACGACGAACGACAAAAAACACACTCACGAGGGTGAAGCTGCGCGCGAGCGCGACGTCTGCGGAGAGCTGCGAGCACGCGAGCCGGATGATCTGCCACGCGCTCTCGAACGCGGTCAGCTTCGCGCCGAGCGCGTCGCAGTCGTCCGTGATCTCGCCGACGAACGTCGTCAGCTCCGTGCCGCCTTCGGGCGGTGCGGGCGCGCTCTCTCCTGACGGGGAGGAAGAGGGCGCGGCGTAAGCGACGGTGCGATGCGCGACGGGGGAGGAAGCGGACTGCTCACCGGGTCTGATCTGAACGGCGACGGAGATCCCCCCTGCGTCGCTCATTCAGCCCACGGAAGTGACCGGGCGGGAGGGAAAGAACGACGCACAGCATGTGAAGCTGAGGTTTTCCAGGCGCGCGAGCGCGACCTTGAAGACGTACACGAGCTTCGTCAGGAGCTTGTTCAACGTCTGTGGTGCGTGGTCAGCACTCTGCCGTCACGCGCGAAGCCGGGGACGGACCTGCCAGATGTTCATGCATATTCTGGACACGGTGTGCGCAAGAGAAAGTGGCAGACAAAGCAATCAGAACCGGCACGGCGGACGTGAGAGAGCGGGCGGGCTGTAGCCCCACCCCGAACACGCACTCTTCTATCCCCGTCCAGACGCTCTCAAAAAAGCCGGTGGGCTCCGCCTTGATCCTGAGCGCACTCGCGACCTTGCGGGGAAAGTGCTCGACGTCCTTCGCGAGCTCGCTGAAGAGCTCCGCGTTCCGCCGGGCCGCCTTGAGGTGCACCGGGATGGTCTGCCGGAGTGGATGTATGCGCGGTCAGCGTCGCGCGCACGGGTCCCGCTCGTCGCACGGACGGACCTCCAGGAATTTGCCGATCATGACCCTCTTCTGCTCGATCGAGACATCCGGGGACTGCGAGAGCGGGACGAGGATCTCGGCGAAATCTGCGCGCGTGCACGAGGTCAGCCGACGGGAGGCTCTCAATGCACGGTCGGGAGCGGGCACTCACTCTTCAGGAAGTGCGAGCACATCCCCGCGTTCTGCTGCGACTCCCGGTAGATCTTCCTGTGCGTCTGCGCGACGAAGGCGGCCCACGACCCGCGTCAGCCCTCCGCTCCGTCCTGCGCACGCCAACAGCCAACAGCCCTCCCGCGGCCGCCGCGAGAAGGCAAGAGAGAAAGGAACGAGAAGCGGGGGGCACGCACCTGTCGCAAGTCGTTCCACTCGCCGACGAGCCCGTCGCGGTCCGCGACCTCGGGCGTGCTCTCGAGTTGCGCGGCGACGGTGCGGAAGAGCTCCTGGATGTCGAGCTGGTCGCTGTTGAGCGTCGCGAAGTTGTGCCGGAGCTCCGCGCGCGCGCGCTGCGCGGTCTCGACGTCGGCGTACGTCGGGAGCCCGCTGCCGTCCGACATCGCGTGTTCAAGCTCGAGTTCGCGGGAGTTCCGAGAGGTGGGCACTTGAAGTTGAGGCTCGCGGCGGTGTCGCACTGGTGGACGGAAGCAAAGATGGGGGCCAGCGATGTTGCCAAGACTTGAGAGAGCGACGTTGGAGCGGCTGCGCACAGAGTGCGAGAATCTGAGAGGGCCGCAGGGCCCGCAGCGGTCGTGTTGAATGGCAGAGGACGCTGGGATCCTGAGGCCCGCCGCGGCTGCGAAGGGATTCGGAAGCCCCGAGGCGCTCTGGCGGCCGCACGCGCTGCGGAGGCAGACGAGCGTGCTCGACGTCTCGGGAGCGCC